TATTAAGCTGCTGTGTAGACGGATGTACAGATGAGGATAGGAAGAAAAGAATATGAATTGAAAGGGCTTAGCTGTTGTTGTTGTTATGGCTTGGAGACTGCTGGTTGTCGTCAGTGTCCTTGTTTTGGTGCTGTCTCAAATAAGGTGTTTGTAGTGGAGATCTCCTCTTGTGTTGAATGCCACGTCACTCAGAAATGCTCTAAACAAGAACTGTGCTAGCTCAGGACAACTGGTTAGCGATGCAAAATCCAGTGTGTTCTTCAGTCCCAATACTTCAGTGGAAGTGCGTGTTCTTCAGTCCCAATACTTCAGTGGAAGTGCGAGCAGATATCTGTTCACAACTTAATATTGTCTCAGAGGCAATTTCGGATAAGTACTTGGGGTTACCGTCAAAAGTTGGAATTGACCGAAATGACAGTTTTCAACATCTAGTTGATAAAGTTTGTGCACTTATTAATGGGTGGATCTCAAAAATGTTATCAATCAGCGGGAAAGAAACTCTTTTGAAGGCGGTGGCACAGGCTATCCCGGTTTATGCCATGTCGGTTTTTAACATCCCGAAGAATATTTGTAAGGCTATCCGTGATGCTATTGCTAGATATTAGTGGGGTGACATGCAAGAAAAAAAGAAGATCCACTGGAAGGCGTGGTGGAAGATGTGCATTCCTAAGAAAGAGGGAGGTATGGGCTTTCGTGATTTACATTGTTTTAACAAAGCTATGCTAGCGAAGTAGTGTTGGAGGCTACTATCCGATCCAGACTCTCTATGCGCCCAAGTACTACGGGCTAAATATTATCCAGATGGGGACTTGATGAATGCATCTTTGAAAAAAGGTTCATCGTATACTTGGCAGAGTATCATGGCGGGTATGAAAACCTTCAAGCTAGGGGCGATTTGGCGACCAGGGAATGGTGCTTCAATTGATATTTGGTCTGACCAGTGAATACCCACAAGCCATGACCGCAAGGTAATGACTCCTAGGGGGCTATGTTTGTTACAGAAAGTCCGGGACTTGATTGATCCAATTTCTGGAAATTGGGATGAGCAGCTCGTGCGTGAAAACTTCTGGCCGGTTGATGCAGAGAGGATATTGCAAATTCCGCTGTCATCTCATGGACAATCAGACTTCATCTCATGGCATTTTTCGAAGTCAGGTTGCTTTACTGTCCGCTCAGCGTATCATATTACATGGAAAAATGAATATAGGACACGAGCTCGATTGGACTCGGGAGGAGGCAGAATTGATCCACATCCTGTGTGGAAGTCGCTTTGGGGAAGAACTGTCCCTCCTAAAGTACATGTGTTCAACTGGCGGGTGTTACATGGGATCGTTCCATGCTACTGCACATTAACAGATCGTCATATGAAGTCCCCTGTAATATGCCCAGTTTGCCGAACTACCCCGGAGGATCTCCACCATATGTTGTTTACATGTGACAGATCAAAGAAGGTGTGGGAGGAACTCGGTTTGAAACATACCATTGAAAATGCTATAGCACAAGAGAGGTCAGGTTCAGTTATTTTAGAAAAAGCTACTCTGTTCGGACCTCGAGGGAGAAGCAAGGATCCCGATTTCAAATGGAGTTGAGATGATTATGGTAGCAGCTTGGTACCTCTGGTGGGATCGCCGGAAAATTAGCCACGACGAGAAGTGTGACACCCCGGTTCGTACAACAATGAGTATACGGGGCATCGTTGCTAATGCTCTCGCTATGAAACCAGGGGTAAAAGATGGAAAAGTAAGGTGGGAGAGGTCTGTTATGGGGGTCTTAAAGCTTAATGTGGATGCAAGTTACCATGTTTATGAGGGATCAGGAGCAACGGGAGCAGTAGTTCGGGATTGTACGGGCGCTTTTATTGCAGGATGTTGTTATTATAAACAACATGCTATGGATGCATCATCCATGGAGGCTCTTGCTCTACTTGATGGCTTACGCCTAGCTGACAATCTGGGCATTTCAACTCTGGTAGTAGAGTCTGACTCACTAGAGATTGTCCAAGCCATCCTTAACCCATCAGATTACCGTGCTTCAGCGGCGGTTGTTACTGATGACTGTCGAAAATTATTGACTGCGTTCGGCAGGGCGACTGTTGTTCATTGTGCTCGTGAATGTAATGCAGCAGTGCATGAGCTTGCTCGGGCTAGTTACAGAGGAATTTTTTCTGAAGAGTGGCGAGATAAACCTCCTGACTTCTTACTCCCCTTCCTTGTAACTGATATGGTTATTGTTTAATAAAGGTCGCCGAATCTCAAAAAAAAAAAAAGCCATGGTTACACAGATTTTTTTGTTTTGTTTTGTGGGATTCGTGGTTAGGATCTTGATTATGGATGTGTTTGTCATTATGCAAGTAATGGTCTGATGTGTATCTGATGCAAGTAATGGCCCTTATGCCTATGACCAACTGACGGATGCATGCATGATTCAGTTAGGCAGTGGTGTGCTCGTGTGTTTCTCCTCATCTTTCAGAAGGCTCCTTGAAGAACGAACAGTAAATTACTATTGTGGTATGAACAGAAAGGTTGTAAAGAAAAATAAGGGGAAAGGGAAGGGGTTGCCTCAAAAGACACGCAAGAGGCGTCAAATGCTGCGTCGGGGCAGTATAAAATTGCAAGGATTCAGTAGTCGTATCGTATGTACTCCCTCCGTAAAGAAATACGAGTATATATGCAGAAAGTTTTCTTGAAAGAGTAGAGTAGAGTAGAGGAGTGCACTAAAAGCCGGTATCATGGAGACTTTGTTCAGAGAGCTCTAATTTTGAAACCGAGCCTGTCCTCTCAAAAGACACGGTTGGTTTGAACACATGGACATGGACATGGAAAGGTGCATGATTGCGTACGGACGTCGCGAGTTGAAGCCAAACCTCGTTCAAAACCACGCGAGAGGAAGAGGATTGGAAGAAAATGCAAAAAAGAATGAAAATCAAATTTGGAGACGCGGGGTATCGATCCCCGTACCTCTCGCATGCTAAGCGAGCGCTCTACCATCTGAGCTACACCCCCAATGCGTGGGAACGATTTTATCGCCCCTAGATAATGAAACAGTAGCTGACAAACATTCGCAATCATGTTTCGTCTCTGCACACCACGTGACAACAAATGTCATCAAGAGCCCGTTGTAACCCGAGTGGTTTTTAATCTTATGCTAAGCATTTTGCGTAAGCCGAGATCTTTTTCTACAACCTCTCGGCTTACTGATACGCAATCCAGAGTCCTCTTCTTTTTCTTAACCGTGTGTACTTCTGTTGTTCGACTTACACCATTGTAAGCCGAGCACTCATGTGTTTAGTCTTGTTGAGGATATCGTTATAATTGGTAACTGCTCGGCTAGCTGACGAGTAGGGATAATAGAATAATCAATAAGTTAATCAGTTAATTAGATGATTTATCAATTTATGGGCTACTCGGCAACTTAACTGGTCAATTGGACGAATTCTTGAACATGAGTTTTTACACTCGGCTTACACATAGATACACACCAATGCGTGATTTTCCTGTTGTGGGTAGTCCAACCTGTATATTTGGAATAACATTCAATTCATATGTCGGAAAATACGGCAGAAAGTTACTCGCACAATGTGCATTATAAATTCGGGTTTAATTGTTTATATATCTTTGTAGATTTGTAACTTTTGCTTACCAATGAAGGATGCTTTCTATTTATTGATATTTTCTTAACGTGGTGATGAGACGATGTACATGTTTGAATACCGGCCCAACCAACCCTAAACCACTACACCAACTTTAGAGAAAATTAAATGCAAAATTAATTTTGCAATATGTAGCTAGCTAAAGAACATATCTTGTTAATAGATATGCATGCATGGGTCTTTGAGAGGAATTTTCCATAGCTTATTCAGTATATGACCATACGTACCATTACAGAAATGTTTTTTCACTGTTTTTATCTGGATCGATTCTTAGCAATTTTGGGTTAATTATAAAGAAAATCTGTGGTGTTATGACCCATTAAATGAGTACAATTATCATATGAGCGTAGAGTAAAAGCTGTAAATGGACGCTAAAGTTAGAGATGAGCACAATGCATGTGGGCGGTGGGCCGGAAGGCTGCCCTCATCCTCGCCGATCCTCCCCTATAAATCCACGCCTCCTCCCTTGCTTTCAACTCACCAAAACCAGTGACTTCCCTTCCCTTTCGACCTTCTACTGGTATTACCCATCGTCCCCCCTTTCGACCTTCCGCTGGTATTACCCATCGTCCTCCCTTTCGACCTTCTGTTAGTTTTACCCATCGTCCGGCAATGGCCCGCAAGAAGGTGCCCCTCCGCTACATTGGCAACTCAACACAGCGCCATACTTATGTGACGCGCCGCAACAGCCTGATGAAGAAGGCGGGCGAGTTGGGCATCCTGTGCAACACCAAGATCTGCATGCTGGTGTATGATGAGGGTGCCGCGTCGCCGGACGTTTACCCATCCCACATGGAGGCGGTGGCTATCCTGAATAGGTACAAGAACATGCCGGACATGTCGCGGTTCAAGAAGGTGGTGACCCAGGAGGAGTTCCTCACCAAGCAAGTCGCCAAGCTCCAGCATGAGGCCGACAAGCTCCGGCGCGAGCGTGAGGACCGCGATACCAGGATCCTTCTGCACAAGGCCATGCTCGGTGGCAACCTGAATGCTGAGGAGGTCACCAGGGTTGGATGTAAGTTGCAGGAGATCCGCAAGAGCCTCGCAGAGCGCATAGCAAATACCAGCGGGCAGCCGCCGATCTTCCAGCTCCAAGCGCAATACGTCACCGGCGGTGTCGACATGGGGCCTCCGTCGATGGACCAGGTGCCGCCACAGCAGGAGGGCTGGCAGCCAGAGGTCTTCCAGGCCCAGGCACCACGGGTCACGAGCAACGTCGACATGGGGTATCTGCCAACATATCAGGTTCCGCCTCAACAGCAACAAGGCTGGCAGCCACAGGTCTTTCGGCCCCAGGCGCCATACGTCATCGGCAATGTCGACATGGGGCCTCCGCAGATGTATCATGTGCCGCTGCAGCAGCACGGCTGGCAGCCACCGACCTTCCAGCCCCAGGCGTCATATGTCCCTAGTAGCGTTGACATGGGGCCTCCGCCGATGTATCAGGCGCAGACGCCATACGTCACTGGCAGCATTGACATAGGGCCTCCACCGATGTATCAGGCGCCGCCGCATCAGCAAGAGGGTTGGCTTGACATGCAGAGGTCCGAGGGGGCCAGCGCATTGCTCTACAATGCTAACGGTACTGGTGGCCACGACGGCGCCGGTACTAGCTCTAGCGTCGGCTTCCCCATGGATGATCTGATGCAGTTCTTCAACAATATGAGATCCGGGTTGAAGTGAGCGCCGATCGTGGGGAGCATCTTCTTCGAGTAGAGGATCTATCCTCACATGCAGTTCATGGTCATGCGTGTCGTCTCATTTTACTTAGTCTTGGCATGGTTAAGATGCAGGAATTGTTGTTAATAAGTTGAGACATTCAGTCTCGGTCGTGCTCTTTGAGCGAAGGCATTTTTATTCTAGTCGTTGAAATTGTTATATTGGATTTTTTCTGTCATGATCTGTTTGTTTGATATCTGATGTTTATTTGATCATAAGTTCGTAACTCGTACTTTGCACCGCCTCTGTGTCTATATACATGTTTTGTCAGTAGGCATAGCTATGTGTATACTTACAGAACTGTGTGTATACAACACTACTAGCCTTGATAGTTACTTAGTTTTGCAGCGGCTGCTATCAATGAATAAAGAACCTAAGCGCTATGATCTTGTGTTGGAAAATACTGCTAGCTAGGCCTTCCTTTTCTCATGATCAGAATTTTTCATTTTTCGGTATGAACATTGTGAAGTTGTAAGTGTGTCCCGGAATAAGTTGAGTGTCATGGTTCATCTTTGTCTGGATAACCATTTATAACCTAATTATTACATGTTGATAATTTGCTCGATTGGCCAATATGTTTTCATTTATTGTTTAGCTTATGTCTTCGTCCCACCGAAAGACACTTGGAAAAATCTTACAAGGATTATGAGAACCCAAAAAAGCAACAACCCAAGCTAAAAGAAGAAGAAACCGGACATGGCGTGAAAGGAGGTAGAAACAAAAGGAAAGAAGCAGGCTGATCTTGTGTGAAGTTACATATCTCGATCATGTAGCCATATTTTCTGTAGACCGATGCACTATATCATTGTCCGAGGAGTGAATGCCCGAGGAAATTAGGTCATTAATTCCTAGATTTTCAA